GCACTCTGAAGATGCCAGTCACAGGTGCTGACGAAACGTTAGGAAACAAAACTTCCAGAACACGGCCACACAGCCCGGAAGACCCACACCAGACATATTAATAGAAAGCACTTCAAAAGTTAGCTGGCCCGCAAAGAAGCTTTCAATGAACCAGGTTCTCAGTTGTTATTTATAGCTTGCATTGAATTGTATTGCTTATTTTATTTCATTCTATTACATTTTATTATTAATTACTCCCAAAATCTAATTGTGGCATATTGTAACCTAAATAAATACCTCATTAATTGAAATAACCTGAGGATATAAGCTACTAGTTCAGGCAATTGCCTTTTAGGCAAACAACAGAGTAGGGCAGGAGGTATAAGGTTTAGGTGAATTGTTCCTCTGTGTTGAGTATAGATGGAATTGAAAACGATACCAAACTCCTTCTCATATCACTATCGGCTGGTTGCACTCTGCACATTCTTTTTTAGGGGCGTCTGTAAGAGAAGTTCCAAACTGAATCAAACTTTAGTCATTAACCAGCACAAGAAGTTCCAGTATCCCCAACATCACTTCTCTCCCTCTTCCCCTCCCTCCAGCAGCATCCTGGTCAAGCAGATTTTAGAACAACATGGTGGTTGTGACTGTGAGTCAGTCTCTGTTGAATCACAAACAGTGTGATTCAGTCCTTTCCCTCAAAATGTTTACCATCAAAGGCTGGAGGGAAATCTATTTAAGAACTTATATTGTGTTATATTGCGCACAATTTATGTACCCTGCACAGGGTACACCAGTAACACAATATGTTAAAATCCAGGAGTTTGTGCTCATATACCTTACTTTATGGGGCAAATTTTGTTTCATGTGCCTGCCTTGAGAGGTTGAAGCATTCTTGGCATTCTTGAGCTGGAAAGCTAGATTATATTTTTAATCATTTAAAGGACTATGAGATCTTGTCCTCTTTCTTTTCAGATGTTCCTTTATCTGTCTGACTTATCCAGAAAAGATCGGAGAATTGTCAGCAAAAAGTATAAAATTTATTTCTGGTAAGTGGCTAACAAGTAAACTGAAACTCATTTTTTTTTTTTATTCTTTCTCCATTCTTCCCTTAATTTAAAGAGAATCCTTACAGGGGATTTTTGTGTTTGATAATAACAACACCAGTTCCATACTGGTTAAACATGAGTTTCATAGAGTAAAAATTCAGAATTCTTCAGTGATGCACCTAGAAGGGAAGTAGCTTTAATTGTTTAATTTGTTCCTAGGGTGAGTGCCCAGAATGGGCAGACTTTATACAGAGGTAACAGGGACCTGAGCTTTAGAGGTGATGACCACAGCACTTTGAATAGTAACCAGAAACCTAGTGGCAGCTAACACAGCACCACAATATAGAGGTCAGCCCTTGGAGATGGGTCAGGTCAGAAACAGACTCCTCAAGGATGACCAGAACTCTTATTTTATTAATATAGGCCAGTGTTTCTTAAAGTGTGGTCCAAGGACCCCTGGGAGTCCCCCAAGACCCTCTCAAGGGTCCACAAAATCACATTATTTGCCAGATATTTAAGAAGTTTGCAAAAATTGAAAACAAAGTCACTCTTCTCATTTTTTATCTGTTAAAAAAATATAGGGTTTTTTCATGAAAAAATTTCAATATCTAATGGGTTTAATATTGTTATTTTTACATGATTCAATAAATATTCTATGAATGTTATCGATTTTAATTTTTAATATGGTAAATATCAATAAACAGAACCCATACTGTGGAATCAAAACACAAGACTCAAATGCAAAATAATCAAGGCTTCACTGCAGTGTTTATTAGACAGTACATACTGGTGGGAGATCCCACCAAAGGTTAGTGGGAGACACTCCCCTGTGGGCAAAATGGATGCCCAGATATTTATACAGCTCTACAAGAAAGAGGAAGGGAAAAGAACACATATGTATACATATTCATATGATGATGCAGACATACCTAAATGAGCAATACTTCTCAAGTTACTGTCTGTCCCTGTTTTTGGCTGCTATCTACAAGGACAGAACAACTGCTATCTATAAGGAAAGCAATAGTGTCAAAGAGGAAAAAACAAATTGGTTCAAGGTGCCAACTGCTAGGAAGAAGGCATCCTCCCTTGTGTTGCTCTGGGGATGTTTGTGATACAGAGTTTACAGTCAGCCTAGTTCACACCAGCTTCAAGGATGCTGCACATTCCTCTATGTTTCAGTTTTATTAAGGCGATCCCATTCATCTGAGGTCTCTAAAAACTTGCTTCTTTTACCTAAAGATTCACCCAAAGAGATATTTTCCTTATTTTCCCTGTAACAAAAGGTCTTTTGGGGTACTCCATAGTTTTTAAAAGCGGGAAGGGGTCCTGAGAGCAAAAAGATTAAGAAACACTGATATACAGTAGGCTACGATAACAGAGTTTTCAGTGCCTGACAAGAGTTTCTCTCTGCTACTCTCTTCACTTCTTCTTATACCCCAGGGGGTTAAAGGACAGCACTTTGAGTTTCTAATGTTTTCTTCATTTCCTAGGCTTAAAACATGTTTTAGTAACTGACACTACAGTTTTTCCAAGGTTATCTCTGTGGCTCTCACTAAGTGCTATTCTACCAAACTGGCCCTCAACTGTTGGCAAGCAGATCCAAATAGTTCTTAGAAGCACCCCAAATAAAGTGCAGTTTTGCAATCTAGTCTCCAACTCTAGAAAAGCCCTGATTGTCTCCTATCCAAATACTAATCAGGTCTGATCCTGCTTAGCTTTTTCAGAATAGCTGTAACTGACACTGGGAGTAAGAGTAATTATTGTTATTGTCCTAGCTTCTGATAGGTATATACAGACACATGTGTATCTCACATAAACATTTATTTGGGGAAGATTGGTTTCAGCTGGAGTTGGTAACCTTAGATTAACAACATTAGAAAGTTGGGTGTTTTAAAAGATTTATGTCTGTTTTTATGTATCTGCCTTTTTCTCCTCCCTCTTCCTATTGCTGAGGGGGACTCATCTTAAATTCTGGATCACCTTGGTATTTACAGTAATTTTAACTCTACGTTGGGTTTAAGTAATTAATTTTTGCTCTGTTTACTGAATTGAGACCATTTGCTAAAGTTGAATGGAAATACATGTGTTCATTTAGAAACACTCCTTTGTGTTCTGCAGGAACATTATCACAATTGCTGTATTCTACGCCTTGCCTGTGATCCAGCTGGTGATCACATACCAAACGGTGAGTTTCTGCCTCCTCAGCACAAATGAGAGAATACCTTCTCCTGCCTTTTATCCCCAGCCCTATTACTTTGCCAACTGTTTTTAGGTTCAGTTCCCTTTGTTTGCCCTTTAGCTTTTGTAGTGAGGCTGTGCACTGCTGAGAGTGCCCATCTCACAGTGAGACAGACTGCACTGAAAGAAAGCAACAAACAACAGCCACATTTCATCCAGCCCCGCATGTGGACGCACATTACCTTGAGAGCATTTTACTTTAGCTTGTTTATTTTAGTGATTAGCAACATCTGTTTTTTTTATTTAACCTCTTACAGAAATGAAGTCTCAAAACAAAATGAGATGAAAGCTACAATATTACTGATTATCAAACCTGCAGGGCTCCCTTCTCCTTTGTTAATCTGGAAGGCCCTCAACCTAAAAGATACTCTAACAAAGTTAAGTTACCATCACCAAATATTATTTCTGCTTGGTCACTAATAGTTAAGAAGATCCTAGGATAAGAGTAGGGCGTGCCTCCAGAGGGCCCTATTACGGAGAGTTTCTTCTGCATACTTACTGTAGATGAGGCTGATTAGACCCTACCTGAGCAGTCCTGTCTCCCCTATGATCTCCTTGCTAGGGCCATTGAAACTGAGAAACGTCAGGAACCTGATGTGTGGTGCTTGGCTTCTTCCCATTCTCCAAGCAAATTGCTTCTGCTTGCCCCGCTACTCAGGCTTTTTAACTGAAGTCCAGTATGGACTTCAGCTAGACCATTGGTTCTCAACGGAGGCGGTACCGCCCCCTGGGGGGCGGTGGGAGGATGGTGAGGGGCAGTGAACTTGTTTTGGGCGGTAGGGGGGCGGTGGGCATGTTTTGGGCGGTAGGGGGGCGATGAGCATGTTTTGGCATTTGAACTTAATTTTAAAACTCTCCAAAAAATTTATTAAATCGATTATCCGGTTTACACCATTTGTACCAGCAATAAAACGAACTTACGTGACGGCTGCCCTCACGCACTTCTAGGAATGGTGAGATGAATTTGT